AACTCTCCAATATTTACTATCATAGGGGAGAACCGATATTACTTAGTAGTTCAACAATCCTGCCTTTGTTTTGAAAGAAACTCTTGTTAATGTTTTGTTTAACTATTAGAAGGCATCTTTCGCTAGTCCAGTGCGCCTTTGTATCAATATTTATTGTATGAAATACAATTATGACACAAAGCCGAAAACAGAGAATGGGTTGAGGCTGGTCTTCACTATCTTATGCCAATCTAATCCGATTCACGGCCCATTCACTTATTACAATTTACGCATTCACCTCAAGAACACGTCCGTCACCAGTCAATTCTCCATATACCATAATGCCGCATACTCTCAGGGAACCTAAAAAAACGCACCCCATGATATAAAAATTTCATGATCATAAAAATTTTATATATAAAAATCTATGGATGATTTACCATGAGAGGGGAGGGGATGAACCTAAAAAACAAACTAAATATCAAAACAAACCAAACAAAGATAACCGATGTCAGTAGATCCTGTCCAACCCTCAAAAAAAAAAAAAAAAAAGAGGCCGCTGTATTCTGCCCTTAGCGAGAGAGCCTCTTGAGTTTGTATAAAGGAAAGGAGAAAATAAATAGAGACAAGGGAGTAAAGAAAGCTGACCCAGTCAAGATGTAAAAAGGAGGGGGGAACAAACCGGGGAAGGAGGGGGGAACAAACCGGGGAAGGAGGGGAACAAACCGGGAAAGGAACCGGGGGGAGGGGAACAAACCGGGGGAACAAACCGGGGGAACAAACTGGGGGGAACAAACCGGGGGGAACAAACCAGGGAACAAACCGGGGGGAACAAACTGGGGGGAAAACGGGGGGATCTCAACTTCAGTGCTCCTTTTTTATCTGGGTGTCACATTTTTCGTCGTCTGTTTTAATACCTCTCAGTGTCATTAAATATATCGGAACAAGAAATGTAATAATTAGGAACCGAATGTTCAACTCAGATCAACACAAATGAAGACGGACGTATACCTATGTGTCATAGACTACTCAAAGCGCGCCTTGGTTACGAATACGTAGCCGTTGATTAAATCGAGAGAAACCTGCCCGCTTCGCTGTTGCCTTAAGTCTAGGAAAACCCCTGCCCTGCCCAGCGTTGGAACGTAAATGATATGCTAATTTCGTGTTTTCTATCCAGTTAATTTGTCAGTAATTTTTTTATGACATATATTACAGATTTATGATTGATTGTGTTATGTGAATATGTATAGAGAAAAGCTAATTTTATGTTTCATTTCAGCATCTGAGACCACTTCGTCCCAGGAGAGACATACTGAATGCGTTTATAATATTGTCCCTGTAGATGGGTTGAAAATCCACCTTGTTCAACAAATATCGTCTTTGGTGGCATCTTCAAGATATCATCTGGAAAGAAGTAATTACTTTTATGTGCCGTAATCTTCAAGACTTTGGCGCTCATACATCTTTACAGATTCCTGTCACTCTTGTGGAATATTTGTCTCTTTTTAGCCACGCTCTGTCTGTCCATCAAAACCCCACTCGCTCAAATGAAGAGCTTCTCTAGTTTTGGGTTCTTTATTTATTTTTATAAATACTTGCCTTTTCCTTCTTCAGAAAATGTTGAAAGGCAAATCTTAGAAAACTGTTTATTTTATATGGGGCACTAGAGAATGTTTCAGATCCTTCACTTTTGCAAGAAATGAAAACTAAACAAATTGTCGTCTTGGTTTCAGTTTTTATGACAATCCTGTAGAGTTTGAGCTGTAACATGTCTATTTCGTAAATTCATCAATGTCATTAATTTTCAAAACAAGTAATAAAACTTTATCTTGGCCTCTCCCCCCTCCTTGAAACTCTAGCTTTCATATTATAAATCATATATACGGGAAAAGTTCATAGGCCTCATTCTAGAAAATAAATAGTAACGAAAGACCAAAAAAAGTGTATTTAAAATATTATTTATAATAGGATAATAAATTGGAAAGAAAATTATTCATGAGAAAAAAAAAAAAAAGGATCTCTTCTGTTAATTCACCCCAAAATAGAAATAATTTATATTTACTAAAATTCACACCAAATTCTCTCAGAACGAGGCTTTTCGATTGCACTCTGGTTGTAATCGCCCCAAATGTGGACGATTCGGGTACGTTGTTTGTATGTGTGGAATGTACGTTCGCGCTTACTCCGATAAAATACCAAAAAATGATTTATTTATTTAAAATGTAAAAAAAAAAAAAAATCCTTGTAAGTACCTCGAATACCATCTGCACTTAGGAAATTAGAATAACTCCCTGATCTTTGGTAATTTTTCATTCTTAGGCTTGGAGTTGTTGGGAGGCAAAGCTAAACAAATTTTTGATTTATAATTTCAAACGAGTGCCAAAAATTCAATAAGAAAAACAAACTTTGATTTATAATTTTTGGAGGGTGAATTAATATTTGCGATAAGTAACTTTACATTATTTGGAGTGAATTAAAAGAAACGATCAAAAAATATATTGAATTAAAAATCCTTGAAAACTTAACATCTGACTTAAACTTCCGACTTTTTTTATTTTGTGGAGAGGCGGGGTGCCTAGATTATAGGTCAAGATCAAAGATTCGAAATTACTTTTTAAAATATTATTAAACTCATTTTTCTGCCATTTTCAAATCTTTCCTTAAACTAACAATAAGGGGCTTAATCCATCTTGTCAATTAAGTTGTAAACTTTTTAAAACCCGCAAGCTTTATAGAACAAAATGCTCTGTGTGTGTGTGCGTACGTGCGTGATACTGAAGCATTGTTTATTTCACCCCAGCCCAAGCCACACCCTTTATCTTTACCCATGACCCATCTTTGCCCCTTCCTACCTCCGGTTTAGCACTGCGACCGCACATTTTATTTCTTTGCCCCAGGATAAAGTTCAAATGGTCATCTCTCCCTATCTCTCTTTTGCCCGGTAAATCTCGCCCCTACCAAGTCCCTAAAAAATGTCCTTTCTGACACCCTCACTCCACCGTCCATTGTAATCACTAAAAACAAGCCAGAAAGTAAGAATAGCTACTTTTTACAACCATGTCTCCCGTTTTTCTTTTCTTAAAGCAGGTCAAAGGGATTTTTCCCCCCTCTTCACCACGTTAATTCGTTCATCTCACTTAATACTTTTATCTCGGACCGGTTTAAAAATAAAAGGTTTTTCGTTAAACTAAACTCGAGGAATACAAAATAAAATAACTCCCGAGTAAATTCGAACTTCCATGTAAAACCTAACAACACATGACTTACACGGGCGACGCCTTCACGGAGTTTACTACCATGCCAGATATGTACGCAAATATACGTATAATTATATCTAAAAAAAATAAATTAGATAATTAAATATAAGACAAATGCCATAAATGTTTTTAGATAATCAAATATTAAGAAACAAAAGACAAAAGGGTGATTTTGTTAATGTCAAACTATGATTTGTTCACACCATTGTTTATGTCAGCTCAAAATTTAATTAGGATTTACAAACTCTTAAAATTAATAATCGATATTTTTATTCTTGAAAAAATCTCGACTTAGTATAAGTTTATGATGTATTTACCATACATTTAAGCATTTGAATTTCTCATATAAATCACTTTTAACACTAGTACACTAACCATCAATTAAAGTTACACCACTACTAACCATGGGTATATCATACCTGATTTTAAAAATATCAAAAAAAAAAAAAAAAGTATTAAATATAAATCTTTATTTGTAATATTTTACATGCATATCTTTATTTGTAATATTTTACATAAATTTTTCAAACTTTGTACTTTGAGTTAACATTAATACTAGGAACTGAAAAACATTTAGGTAAGAAAATCATGTACTGAAAATTGTAATCAAATATAGGAAAATTTGCACTGGATACTATATACCAATGGTTAGTGTTCTAGGGTTAAACTGTGGCCCATATTCTTATTCAGCACAATTGATGTTGCTTCTTATTGCAGATGTGACAGATCGTCCCTATTGTTTCTTAAGTACCATATTTCCTTGTGTATAATACGCGACTCTGTGATTTATAAGCTAAAAGCAGCGAATAAATTACATACTTTTGTATAACTCTGTATTACATCAGAGGCGTAATGGATAGTGATTCTGATTGAGTTCGAATTCCAATCAAATCCATATCAATTACGTGCTAATACCCTTGGGAAAGGTATAAATGCTCTTCTCTCCCCCAGAAAAAAAATGGCAAACTATTGCGTGAAAAAAATCTGCCTCGTCAGTCATGTATCGTACAGCCATCCCTATGTAATTATTTTTAGGCTGTACCATACCCATTCAAATTTCAATGTTATACATATATTTTACTGAAATATTTAATTTTTCACGATATTAAAAAATAGACTGTGATGGAAAAGTAACTCCTTATACCCTATTTTTAATGTATGATGGACTCACCCGTCTTATAAAAATTATGGTTAGACAGGAGAGTCCATCATACGTAAAATAGGGAGTTACTTTTCAATCACACTGTAGAAATGAACTGGATGTTTCGCTATTGCGTTTTTTTTTTGTTTTTGTTTTTCTCTAATTTCCGTTTCAAAACTTATTTTCGGGGATACGTGCTAACTAGACATATCCGGTAATACATTTAATTAATCTATCAGACTTTTCTTCTTTGATATTTCTGCATTTTCATAAACTATGAAAATAAAAATATTATCTTTCATTAAGAATGACGAGAGAAACAAATATTGCTTTATATCAAATACATTTTCTAAATAACTGATATCAACACCCGCTTACTTTTTCTTTTTGTTTAGCGGCATAAGAAACTATGGCTTATATAATACCGAAATCTGAATATTTTGAACGCAGTTTTTTTTTTTTTTAAATAATAGTTTTAGTGATACAAGTCTTACTAATTAACCCATAGCTGGGGGAAGTAGATGTAGATTCATACCTTTACCAAGGATATATGAGCGTAAGGAAATATAACGAACTGTACTGGAACTCGGCTCTCCAATTAACAATTCCAAGTCATTATCCAT